TGTCCGTGCCTCTGGCACGGACAAGCTCACTGCCCGCACTATCCCCTGTGTCTTCCTTGGTCTCCTCCTGGACTCGTCTGACTGGCTCTTCTACCACCCGCAGTCTCACCGCTTCCTCCACTCTCGTGACGTCACCTTTGACGATTCTGTGTCCTTCTACCGTCGCTTCCCTCACCGAGGTCTCCCGGTTTCCCCCCCCTGTTTCTTGCCCCCTCTCCCCCGGTAGCCCCTCCTCCCCTCCTGCCTCGTCCTGCCCCCTCTGGGGTCTCCCATGTCACTCCCCTCCCGTCAGTTGTCCCTGTTGAGGGGTCTACTGACTGTGGTGGTCCCCCCGCCCCGCCTTTGCCGCGTCCCCCTTCCCTAGAGTCCCCGCCCCCGCTGTCGCAGTCGTCGCCGCCGCCGCCACCGTTGCAGCCGCCGTCGCAGCCGACGCCGCCGCCGCTGCCGCTCTTGGCCTCTGGGGGTGCTGGCGCCGAGGAGGGTGTTCGTCCTCCGGCTCCTGGCGTGGTTTGTCCCGGCGGGCCTGGGGGTGCCGCTGGGGCTGGAGAGGGTTCTCGCTCTGGGGGTGTTGGTTCTGGGGGTGCTGCTGTAGAGTGTTCTCCCGGAGGTCGTCGTGCCCCTGCCGGTTCAAGGGTCGAGCACCAGCCGCCGCAGCAGCCACCGCAGTCGTCGCCGCCGGTCTCCGCTCTTCGCCTGCTCGGCCTTCCCTCCCCTGACCGCTCGCCGGTGTCTCCCCCACCTCCTCCTCCCCTTCCTGTCTACGGCCCTGTGTTCTCGCCCCCGAACTCTTCTTCGGCCCGTCTTCCTCCTTGTTCCCCCCTTGTGTCCTCTCCACTGTCTCCTGACCCTACACCTCCGTCCCACGTTTAGTCTCGCCGTCCCTCCCGTGCTCGTCCCGTCTTCCCTGTCCTGCGCTCCCATCCTATGTTAATCCGTTCTCACTCGTCTCGTCCTCCCCTCCTCCCCTTGCCTCCTCCCTCGTCGCTCGTTGTTGCACCTCCCCCGCTGTCAGACTACCTCCGTGCCGCTAGTCCCCTTGTCCCTTGGGTCCTTGCCTCTCTTGTTACAGACCCGTCTGTTCCTGTCTCCTGCCTTGACGCGCTTGTTGCTGCTGTCGCTGACTTCGCCTCTACCCGCCGCCTTGACTACGTTACTGCTCTGGTCTCTGACCCTGCTCGTCCTGCGTCCGTCGGGGGTGCACCTGCCCTTGGCAGTGACGTACTAGAGGACAGGCAGTACGAGCTTGCTTTCCTTCCGAGGCCGCTCCCCATCTCTGCTCCATGCTCCTAGTCCCAAAGGCTGACCGAGCGCCTTCGACATCCTGACCCCTCGCACCTACGCTGAGGCCACCTCGGGACCCTGGGCCTCTCAGTAGACAGTTGCCATGGAGCAGGAGATGGCATCTTGGAGGTCCACCGGCACTTACGTCGACGCAGTTCCCCCACCTGGGGTGAATGTAGTCGATGGTCGGTGGCTCTTCAAGGTGAAGCGCCCCCCTGGAGAGCCGCCTGTCTTCAAGGCGCGCTACGTGGCCAGAGGCTTCAGCCAGCGCGAGGGGGTTGACTTCTTCCAGACCTTCGCCCCGACCCCGAAGATGACCACTCTTCGGGCGCTGCTCCACGTAGCAGCACAGCGTGACTACGAGCTTCACTCCCTCGACTTCTCTACTGCCTTTCTTCAGGGCAGCCTACACGAGCAGGTCTACCTGCGTCGACCTCATGGCTTCACTGGTACCTTTCCCCCTGGGACCCAGTGGCTTCTCCGGCGCTCGGTCTGCGGCCTGCGTCAGGCTCCTCGCGAGTGGCACGATACGCTGCGTGCCACGTACCTGCAGTTCTTTCCGTCCTCTGCTGACCCCTCGCTGTTTGTGCATTCCGGCCAGACTCCGTTCTACATCCTTGTCTACGTAGACGACCTGGTCTTTGCTACTGCTGACACGGACACACTGGCCTCCGTGAAGGCCGAGCTGCTGAAGAGACACACCTGCACTAACCTTGGAGAGCTGCGTCGCTATCTTGGCCTGCAGATCTCCAGGGACAGAGCAGCATTCACCATCACTCTGACACAGTCACACTTGGTGCGTCAGGTCCTTCAGAGGTCCTTCCGCTCCAGGGGAAACACCGTGGTGTAGCGCGTGTAGTCGTCAACGAGCACAAGGAAGTAGCGCTCACCACGCGGTCAAGGGACGGGGGCAGGGCCCCAAACGTCCAGGTGCAGGTTCTGAAGGGGGGCAGTAGCAGGGCGCAGCGAGGAGGAGTGAGGAGCACGGCGGAGCCGGCCCTCGACGCAAGGCGTGCACGGTGGCGCAGGCGAGGGGGGGAGGGCAGGGAGCGACGCGGGGAGGCCTAAGACAAGACCGTGCTGAGACATATGACGCAGGTGTGGGAGAGCAGGGTGACCTAGGCGGTGGTGCCACAGAAGGGACGGGTGAGTGAGGGATCGACATGAGCAAGCTGCAGCGACCTGGGAGGACGCACCAACCAGGGGGGAAGCGGTGTCTAGGGTGAACAGACCGGACACCAGGTCCCGGGGGAACGTCGCAAGGGGGGAACCTGTGGCAGCCTCAGAACAGACAGCGAACCGCTCGTGCCCGAGGAACGTAGTGGTGACACCGAGGTCCTGGAGACAGGCGACACCAACCAGGTTCCTCGAGAACGAGGGAACGTGGAGGCCTGTAAGGGAGCCCGAGGGAGCTGCTGGACAGGGAAGGGAAGTGGAGCTGCGAACGACGACAGGACCCGCAGAGGGGTCAGCGAGAGAGACAACAGCAGGTGCAGCAAGCGGCGTGAGCGTGGAACAGTCGCGGAAGAAGCAGGTAGAAGCACCGGAGTCGAGATTGAAGGACAGCGAAGCATCGGCAGAGGCCGGGAACGGAGCCGGTGCAGAGACTAGGCTAGGCAAACTAGGCAGTCCTACGCCTGACGCAGCAGGGGAGGCTAAGCTACACAAGGGTGCAACACCTAAACTAGAGTACACAGGGTAATAAGATCCAGCAACACTAGAAGCGTACAAGGCATGCAAAGCAGCACCTATCCGATCCATGTCTAACTCAAAGATCGGCACGCCCTGGCGAAGCAGGCTCTGCCAGTCGGGGAGGTCCGGGGCCGGGCCACAGCGACGACGAAAGAGATCGTCGAGGCGGCGGAAACAGCGAGCAGTCGGGTGCGGGCGGCGGCACAGAGTGCCGCGGAAAGGCCCAGTCTGAAGCTGGTACTGGCGGGGCACAGCACCGGAGCCGCCGGTAGACGCCGAGCTGCGCGGGCCGCCACCACGGCCACCACCTCCGGAGGTGCCGGGCCAACCAGGTGGGAGACGGGCCCACGGCTGCGGCGGCAGCTGCTGGGACAGCGGCTGCTGCTGGAGCGGCGGCTGCTGTTGGGGCTGCTCCTGCTGCGGAGGGGACTGCGTCTGCTCCTGCCCACCTGTGGTAGTCCTCTCAGGTGAACTACCGTCACCACCACCACTCCCACCACCCCGGCCTCCCTGGCGGCCACAGCCACCGCGACGCGAGCGATGCTGCGGGTGGACCGCAGCTGCAGTCTTGGTAAGGGGGGTCGCAGAGGCGACCGTAGCCGAAACGTCAGTAAACGTTCACTGGGAGGGGGCACAGCCGTGAAAGATAGAGACTGCCGGCGCACCGCTCGACTGAGCGATAGTGTGCTGGCGAGTCTCGATCTCGGTGAGGGTGTCGACAAAGGCGGTCAGAGTGAGGTCACCCGGGTGCTGGCTAAGGAAGTGGTCGCGAGCACTAGCTAGGCGGTCCGGCAGGCGCATGGCGATAAAATAGAGCGTTATGCAGAAGGGGGGGGGCAGTGCTGGCAGTGCGATAGCGGGTCTCTAGGGCACGCAAGTGAGTGGCAAAGTCTACGACAGTAGGGAAGGCAGCAATGTCTGGGAACAGCATCGGGAAGAGCAAGCGGCCGGCAGAAGCGGATGCAGGTGTGGAATAGCGAACAATAACATCGTCTAAATAAGCTTTGGCCGTATCAACCGTAGCGAAACGCGAGCGCTCAGACACAGGGAGGGCATGACTAATAGCAACCTGAGCTACTGCATCGCGGGAGTCCCAGACCGCACAGGCAAGCGCAGCAGTAGAGAGGGTCTCACGGTCATCAGAGGAGGGGTCAGTAGGGAGGGGAGCAGGAGCAGGGGGGCGGGGGAGTAAGCCATCGACATGGACAACCAGCGAGTGGCCATCCTGGCGCTGACATATAAGGTGGCGGCGGAGATCGGAGAGTTAGGCGCGGTGGGGCCAGGCGAGCGCGGTGGGGCCAGGCGGGCGCAGTGGGGCCAGGCAGGCGCGACAGGGCCAGGCGGGCGCGGTGGGGCCAGGCGAGCGCGGTGAGGCCAAGCGGGCGCGACGGGGCCAGGCGGGCGCGGTGGGGCCAGACGGGCGCGGTGGGGCCAGGCGAGCGCGGCGGGGCCAGGCGAGCGCGGTGGGGCCAGGCGGGCGCGACGGGGCCGGGCGAGCGCGGCGGGGCCAGGCGGGCGCGGTGGGGCCAGGCGGGCGCGGTGGGGCTAGGCGGGCGCGACAAGGGGCCAGAGGGGCGCTACGGGGCCAGGAGGGCGCTACGGGGCCAGGCAAGCGCGACTGGGCCAGGAGGGCGCGACGGGGGCCAAGAGGGCGCGACTGGGCCAGGAGGGCGCGACTGGGCCAGGAGGGCGCGACGGGGGCCAGGAGGGCGCGACGTGGGCCAGGAGGGTGCGACGGGGCCTGAAGGGCGCGACGTGGGCCAGGAGGGCGCGACGGGGGCCTGAAGGGCGCGACGTGGGCCAGGAGGGCGCGACGGGGCCTGAAGGGCGCGACGGGGTCCAGGAGGGCGCGACGGGGCCTGAAGGGCGCGACGGGGGCCAGGAGGGCGCTAAGGGGCGGGCGGGCGCTAAGGGCCGGGCCGGGCGGGCGCTAAGGGCCGGGCCGGGCTAGGTAGGTAGGGGGAGGCGAGAGGCTAGGGCGCGGGCGGAAGCGGGTGGGTGGACCTAACCTACTCGATACCATGTTAGAATACGTGAATGTTTTACTAGGGGAGAAACAGGGAACATATAGCAGTTGGGTTGTACTCACTAGGAGCACACACTGATACTAGCCTATAACTTCTATATGCATGACATGTATAAGCCTGAAAGCAATCAACCATCGCTTTGAGAGATCTTGGCACAAGCATGCCTACTGCTTGCGAGTCACCATAGCAAGAAGCGGAGTTGTCCGTTTTAAAAGTGATTAATCTACCGGACTTCTAAGGATTTCAATCATCTCCTTATCAAACCGCGGGCTTTCATTTTCTGTTGAAGCAGGACCACCCATGCACTTGTCAGCCACATTTGCTATAAGAAAGCCACCAAAAACCTGCAAACACGGTAGTTCTAGTTAGAGACGTCATGCTAAATAGCTGTAAATACAAGAACTCAACCTTATTTTATCTCACCTGGACAGAACCAAGAATATACACGAAGGAGTACTGACGGCCATGCATCACCATGTCGGCAACCATCGCAAGAGGGATAGTGAGGGACAGGCCCAGCGTGGCAACAAGTGGTGTTGTCCACACAACTGACAGTGCCCTGCATTATAATAATAATAATAACAATAATAATAATAATAATAATAATAATAATAATAATAATAATAATAATAATAATAATAATAAAAACAGTGCATAAGAACGGTGATGTTAGGGCATACGGCAGGCGATGCATACATACTCACAAGCACAGGTATGCAAAACAAGCATGACAAGCTATAACAATTTGTAGAGACATATGCAAGGGACCTTACCAGCAGTAATCTGAGACCACGCTGCCTACAAGGCTGTTGGCAACAATGTCCTCATCCAGATTGACAGTGCTAGGCATGACAGCAATCGGCTCCCACCCCATCACATGGAGAGGAAAAACTGCCAAGAAACAACAGGATAACACGAGGGCCCACACACGGAGATGCTTAAGCCTATCCAGCTAGATGATGAAAGAAAGGAAGTGAAACAACCAGTGCGTAGCTCACCAATCCACCAGAGTCCGAGCAATGTAACCAAGCCAATGTACCCAAACACCTTCTGCATATCTGCTTTCTCTTCTCCAGCTTCATCATCACCAACATACTTCCGCAGAAGAGCTGCAAATGAAGCACAAAACCTTGTAAGAAGTTGATGTGGAATTGGTGCCATGGCCACTGTGCAATTGGCTTACTCGTGTAAACTCCATAACAAACTGCAGAGAGAAGACCGAATATATCACCAACAAGATGTTGGCTGGGCAATCTGCAACAAGCAAAGAGCCCAAGTGAGTGAGTGACAGATGTCAGATACACAGTTTACACAACATAAGACCATCCGGACCATCAGGCTAAGACCAATGACTTACACAAATTCACCAGCTCCCTCGCCGGGGTTCCTTCCGCTGTCACCAAACACGGTGCTATCATCAGCTGCAGTACTCTTGCCGAGCTCAGTCATGACCACTCCAGCTATGCTCACCAGCACTGCAACCACCTTGGCCGTTGTTAACTTCTCATTTCCTAGAGTAACCCCGAAAAGGAGAGTGAAAAGCCCTGAAGTTGACGAAAGAATGGTTGTGCTGGCCACGCTTGTCATTGAAAGAGAAGCGTTTGACAGATACTGCATGTAACACCCAAAACAGCTCAGAATTTGCACATATGACAGAAACGGAAGAGTAAGAAGAAGGAAAAAACAAAGCAAGTCGTGCAGTGATTGATGAGCTGGGATCTGAGCGGACCTCTGTGAGCAACCAGAGGGGTGCTAGGACGAAGGCACACTTAATAATCTCCCGGGTGGAGAGCTTCGCCGGACGAACGGGTTGTGCCATATCCGAAAGGGACTTCTGGAGCAGCAGCTCGGTGTCCAGGTCGCTCTCTTCATCCAAGCTGTTGTCGTCAATCTCGCGCGGAGGCTTTGAAGGCCTCTTGTGGTGCCGAGGCTCATTCTTAAGTCGTTGCAATTCGCCGCCGCTCGAGTGACTCTTGAGATCCTTCAGGGTTTTGTGAGTCCCGCTGGAAACGGTGGATGTGGGTTTGATGACTACCGGAGTTATGCACTCCCTAAGATAGGCGATCGGAAGGTATATGGACAACAGTGCGGCTCCGAGCCACGTGAGCAGGAAGGGATGCCTGTACTTCTCGAAAATGAGCTGCAAGGATGAACAACGGAGAGTTAAGGCCGACAATAGTCTAACGATTAAGTCAGGTATAACTCACAAACCTACTTGCTTACCTGTGTCACTTCAGCTGAAGTAACCCAGATAAACACCACAAGAAGAATAAGCAGCAGGCCAAAATTATACTTCCACTTAGAGCCTGCCATCAGACGGGGAACGTGTACCTAAAAATGGCTTACCGAATCTGCAGCTCACTCATCAGCAGAATAGCTACTACACAAATGAGATGAGAAAACAGGCCTACAGAGTTTGCTATCTGGCAAGTGGTAGATCAACCAGTGGGCACCATGTGATCAACGAGGAGTCATGACACTGGACATGCATAGCAGGCAGCCAACAACCAAACCAGCCGGACCCACGTGTGTGCGGTGCTCTTATTGCATGCTCGCCTCTTCACTACACAGTTTGTAAATATACGAAGGTATGATTAGGGGAAAATGAATGCACCATCCGTAATTGTTCATTGATATGGAACATATTCACATCATTCGTTTCATTCAAATAAACCACCAATTTATCAAGCTCCAAAATCCACAAATCATCTAACAGGACTAGCAAGCACCTATCAGGTGAAGGCAAAGGTGACATTGTCAAGGGTGTGGGGTCGACAAGCAAGCTGGTCCAAATCTCGCACGATGCGGAAGACTGCATCTGGGCGAGCAACGCGGAGCGCATTGGCCGCCATCTGTTTGAACTGATCCGCCTTGGGCCCAAACCAATCCGCCACAATGCGTGCGATCTCTTTGGGGTTCTCCTCAAACAACCCCGTGCCATTCTCAACAACATACGGGACATTTCCAGCTTCCTGAACGGCCAAGAGGTACAAGAATAGTTCAGCAGGGAAAGCATTGGTACTGGTCAAGGCGTGCAATGCAAATTACAAGCGATGCTAGAATAGGCAGGCCTTTAAAAAAATGTGGATTTAATTATATCAAGTGATTACTCACCTGACCAGCGATGAAGTCGTTGAGCACCATAGGTAGGCCACGGATCATGGACTCTGCTATCGTGCCAGGCCCGGCCTGCAACAAGGAAGGCGGGAGGAGGAATTCAGGCAGAATGTGTTCAGTCCATGGCAAGAGCAAAAATACAGGAATACTCTGGGAAGCAACACAGGCACAATGTGCTCAAAGCCCATCTCCAGCACGAAATGTTCATGCTAATTTACTGATTTATGGTGTTCTTTTTGGAGCCATGCGATGATGCCTAGGCTACTCAAACGCCCCAAAGGCATGTGTGTACGGTGTGTCACAAACAACATGGCAGCATGGCGGAGCAGCAGTCACCTTGGTGATGATGCAGTCACATGCTGCCATCACGTCCGGCATGTTGGTCACGAAGCCCTTCAGCTGCAACGTGGGTGACATGTTACAACAGAGCAATCGTGAAAAAAAGACATGCAGATCAACGGGGTCAAAAGAATGGGGAGGAGGGTCAGTCAGTGGAGGAGAAAGGGTATGATAACCTGGGGGAATGTAGGGGAGGAATGAAAGGTCAACATCACCCCTGCACCAGTGTGGGTGAATCCCATCTCAAGACCCATGCTGTCCATCCCATCTTAAAACGGTGATTGATAACCACTCCAATACCCGGTTCGAATGTCCCCACTAAGACTCGTCAAGTGCCAATTATCGCAAGTACCAGAACAGACACAGGCCATGGGGCAGCCTGCAGTTTGGCCAGCAGCTCCTTGTTGTGCCCACAGATCAGCAGCAGCAGCAGCAGCCCCTTGGCCCGCCCAACCTCAGCTCCCGGCGCCGAGTGGCGGCCAGCACCCTCGCAGTGGCCTCCACAGGCCCCATGCCCTCCCCCCCGCCTATCAGCCTACCCATCCTCAAACCCATGGAAAAAAACCCCTTCCGTTTCCCACCCCAACGCTCAGTTGCATCTCCAATTCTTGAACGTACCAGCACGGGTACGGGCCATGAGGCGGCCTGCAGTTTGGCCAGCAGCTTCTTGTTGCGCCCACAGATGACCACCAGCTGCCCCTTGGCCCCCCCACCCTCAGCTCCCGGCGCCAGAGTGGCTGCCAGCGCCCTCGCAGTGGCCTCCACAGGCCCCATGCCCTCCCCTCCGCCTATCAGCAGCGCCGCTGGCAGGTCAGGGTCCATCCCCAATACCCGACGCAGCTCGTCCTGTTTCAGGGGATGGGGAGGGGTGGAGAGGGGTGGGGAGGGGTGCAGGGGGGAAGCGAAGGGAAGGGGGTGGAGTGGGGGGAGGTGGTGCAGAGAAAGTCGGGAGTGGGAGCGTGAGTTGGGGCAGGGAGGAGGTTAGGAAGGGATACGAGAGACACGCGGCAAAAAGAGGACAAAAGGTGAGGAGGAGCGGGTGAGGGTGGGGGGTGGGGGGGAGAGGGGGAGGGGGGGTGGGGGGGGGGGAGGGTTGTTGGGGGGAGAGGGAAGTAGGGAAACAGGTCGAGGAAGGTGGGAGGTTGAACAGGGAGTAGAGCGAGTAGTACCCGGGGAGCTGCGGGGGGCTTGGCGAATGCTGGTCGGATGGGCAGCCCATGCACTCTGATCTGAGGCGGCTGGAGGCCCGCCTTGAGAGCTCGTTGCGCCACGTCCTTGGTGGGGCAGAAGCACACAGTCACGAGGCGATGGAACCTGGTTGATAGAGGGAAAGGAGCAGCAGGGTGGGAGGGAGTGAAGGCACTCGTCCAATGTTTCAGTCCAATGTCAGCAGGTTTGTTGACCTGCCTTGATAGCTCGTTGCGCCACGCGCTTGGTGAGGCAGGAGCATACCGACACGAGGCGACGGAACCTGGTGGAAGATTCTAGGGCTTAAGGGGAGTAGGAAGGCTCTGATGGACGTGTAGGGTTCTGATTCGTGATTACTACACTCAGGAGTGGCACGTGGTAAGGCCAATTTTTTCACTTTGCACTGTGAGATTCCTGCAAGCATGTTCAACTCACGCACCTGAGGACTCGACAGGTGGGGTGGCACGTGGTTAGTGACGACAGTGGTGACGGGGATGGTTCTTGGATCTACTCAGCACCCAGTCCACCCACCTCGCTCACCCCACCCAACCCACCCACCAAGGCTAGATGTCTCACTCACCATGTGGGGTGGCACGTGGTGAGGTCGGTGACGACGGTGGTGAAGGGGATGCGGTGCAGCAGGCCTCGGGAGCGCAGCACGCGCAGAGGGATGTGCTGCATGAGCGGGTGCACGCTCACGATCACGTCCGGCTTGTACTTATCCAGCCCCTTGGATACCTCCCTGCGGGAACAAGCACACCAGCGGGAAGGGGAAGTGGGAGTCAAGGGAGGGACATGGCAAGCGCAGAGGGATGTGTTGCATGAGCGGGTGCACGCTCACGATCACGTCCGGCTTGTACTTGTCCAGCCCCTTGGACACCTCCCTGTGGCAACCACCGGGGGAGAAGGGGAAGTGGGGGGGTGCGGGACCAAGGGCGGTGTGATGTGGTGCAGCGGTGACAGCGCTATTGAAGATTTCACTGAGAGAGGCCCAGGAGCTGGATGCCTCGAGGGGAAGTCGCACAATGTAGCACCCCCCCAATCACCCCCCACCCCCTCTCCACTCCCCATCACTCGCCTCGCAACGAACGCGGAGGTCGCAGCCATCTACGACTGGTAAACAAACTTGGGCTCGGTGGCGTGAAAAGCCACCTTCCAGAGCGTCTCGCCGGGAATGGATACCACGCTGCAGCACCCCCCACTACCCCTCGATTCACCCCACACTCCCCCTCAATTCACCCTCCACCCACCCTCCACCCATCCCCCACCCATCCCCCACGCACACCCCCCCACTCACCTCGCAACGAACGCGGAGGTCGCAGCCATCTGCGGCTGGTGCACGAACTTGGGCTTGGTGGCGTAGAAGGCCACCTTCCAGAGCGTCTCGTGGCGCACGAGGAAGCTGTAGCTCTTGGGCATCTGGTTGAAGGGCCAGGGCGTGTGCTCCTTCCACAGGTCGATGATGGTCACCTGAAGGAGGAGACAGAGGAGACAGTGAAGGCAGTGGAGGTGTGCAGGGCAAGTCGAGAGGGTTGGCAATAGGACAAGACTTCGGCATTTACACTTCAAATCTTGCATTCCGTCATCGGCTTTTAGAATACCCCGCGTAAGACCAGACACTTGTATGTTCAAAACAGCAGAAGAAAACATGTCATGCTGTTTTCACCGAATTTCCGTTTGGCTGGGATGGGAAAATCCATTCATTCGTGACCCTGTCGCAATGCAAAGGCACGTCTCTTCCTTCTGAAGCGTGCATCAGCCGCGTGACCCATTTATTGTTACGCAGTAGCCTTGAGCAGCCGTACCGATCCTGCTTGACATAGACATCGCAGGCCCAATAGCAACTGCGTGGCTCACCTCGTACTTATCACCGTATTCCTGCTCGAACGTGCACTTGATCGCTTCAGCACTGGCGCGGTGGCCTCCGCCGGTATCACTCATGAGGATCAGCACGCGCTTCTTGCGCTCCGCGTCCGCCGCTTTCTTCTCCGGCTCCGCGATCGCCGTCGCCGCGTGCTCCACGTCGAACTTGGCGGTCTCATGCCTGCCATGCCGCCAGTTCTGCATTGATCCGCGACCCCGGCGATAACCTGCCGAGGGAGAGACATTTGGGAAAGGCACATAGCGGAGGCTGTGCGAGTGAGAATCTTGGGGGGGGGGGGAGGGGAACGAACCCAGGAGAAGTGTAAGTTTTACATCACAACCCAGAAAAAACATGTTTTGCACCATCTTGGACGTTGGGGAAGCAGAGACGAGCTCCAACCCATTCGAGCGAACGAGCGGAAGCAAGAACAACTTCACTGACCTAAGGGAGTGATTCCCCGGTTGCTACGAAAAAGGTCGTTGAGCATTCGCCCGAGGCCACCGGCATTGCCTCCTGCTGACATCGTCACCAAGTTCCCAGCATTCTGATCAGACGCTGCCAGCAGGTGATGGTCCGTTAGCCCTCCCTTAGCCACGACCAGTGCCGGGCGTTGACGGATGTCGTCACGAATATCGCCATGATGCACGAGTTCGTCTGACGTTCTCGAGGCTGAACGCTTGATTGGTGCTGAAGGAAGAGCCTTGTGTTCGTCAACATGTGTCGCAATGTCTTTGGTTGTGTCCAGGTAACCAGCCGTTAATGCAGTGTGCTGAGAGAAAAGGTTGGAGTTGAGACTGAGCGAAATAGAAGCCAACGCCATGCTATTAGGTTCTCCTGAAACCCAATGCTGTGAAGGTTCAGACGAAGCCATACTGCTAAAACGGAAAATAAAAAATGAATCCGTTCCGCTTCTAAGGCTACCTTTGCCCAGCGGCAAGAAGATTCTGAGCTAATTCAGGAGCTTACACCAGTTCAACTAACAGAAATGCCAATCACGAAATAATCGGCTTCTGATTCCAGCTCCTAAATATGTGGAACCTAGTTTGCCGAAAAAACACTGCTGACAGGCTAAGGTAAGGTTCTTAGACTAAGCTACCCAGCTAAGGCGCTTACACTGCTCGTGTTGGTGCCTGCTCACGCCTAAACTTAGAACGGACCAGAAGGAAGTACACGAAAACAAGCCTAGTCGCCAGGACTCAGGCGTGTGGAGGTCCCTAGATGGAATTTCCAAAACTCAGGTGTGTGTAGAGAGTAGACCAGACCAGACCAAAGCCGACAGAACCAAGGCTGGTTGCTTTGAGGCGTGCGAGGAAGGGGAGGGAGGGGAGGGAGGGGGAAGGGAGGGAAGGGAGGATGGCGTAGCATGACAACGGACACATCGATGCTGATGAGGGGAGAAACATTTCAGCCGTGGATGTCCTAGGCAGTGCCTCAGACGGCTTTCGCCGTGATCAGTGGGATGTGGAACACGTGGCTATGGTGCTGGCAATTGGCTCTGATTTGGATCAGGCTTCCGAAATAACGAAGGGGTTCGCGAAAGGCTTGCGGGCTTCGATGAGTATCGACACGGGATTCGCCGCAGATTCTGTCGCGAATCGCGACAATTTTCCTTGAGGCGCTGTCCCGAATCACTTTCGACTCTTGCAGTGAATTTCACACCCTATTGGCTGGACGGAATCACAGCTGGCAAGGATCCTTTGGGTAACCCGCGAAAAGGGTAAAAGTTGAGCTGGTCCGACAGTCGATGGCCAATCAGCCTACAGAAGCTATTGTCATCGATATAGGCTTAACGCTTCATGCTACGTGCTCCAGTGTATTCTGGTATTCGTCCGTGACTAAAAAATCCTTCCGTATTGAGTACAATTTTCTGCCACTGCCCTTTCCCACGCTGGTTCAAGTGGTTATTGACAGGCCGCCGAAGTTAGGAGTAAACCCTAGTAGAGGGGAAGATCCAGAGTGATTACGCGGTTTCCTTATAGCTCTACTATTTTAGGTCCCGTTCGTTCTTCTTTCTCGTTTCGGAGAGGCTCATCAAGCGAATGTTGAAATTTTCTGGGCATAACACGTAATATTCCTTCCTGTAGCAGCTGACGTCATGGGATCTGAAGAGGACGAGATGGAGGGCAGAAAAGGACGGCGAAGTCGCGAAGGCGCGCGGGACATCCGGGGAAACGAGGAGGATGGGGACTCGAGGGACCGAGGGGGGAAGGGGGAGAATCGGCACCCGGATTCGCATCGGCGAGACAGGGAAAGGGAGGGAGGTAGGACTAAGGAGAAGGGACTAGAGAGAGAGGGGAAAAGGGAGAAAAGGAGCCGTGAGAGGAAGGGAAAGGGGCCAGAAGGTGAGGATGCAGACGCGAAGGAGGAAGCAGAGAGAAAAAAGACGAGGCAGGAGAGTGATGAGTGGGGAGGGTCGGAGAGTGAGGGGAGTGAGGGGAGGGAAAAGGAGGAGGAGAAGGGGAAGGGGAGGGAGAAGGGTAAGGAGAAGGAGAAGGAGAAGGGTAGTGGGCGTCATGGGAAGGGGAAGGAGAAGGGGAAGGGGAAGCGGCGGAGGCAGGATTCTAGTAGTGAGAGTGAGAGTGAAAGTGAGAGTGGGAGTGAGAGTGGGAGTGAGAGTGATGATGAGAGTTCGGAGGATAGTGAAGAAGAGAGGAGGGAGAGGAGAAGAGCGAGAAAAGAGAAGAGGAGAGAGAAGGAAGGGAAGAAGTCTAAGAAGAAAAGGAGGAAGAGAGGGAGCGATGAGGAGAGGGAGGAGGATGAGGAGGAAGATGAGACGACCTCAGAGAGTAGTGGGAGTGAGACAGACGAGAGGAGGCTGGAGAGGAGGAGGAAGGAGAGGGAGCAGAGGAAGAAGGGCAAGGAGAGAGAGAAGAAGCGGAAGGAGAAGAGGAGGAAGAGGAAGGAGAAGAAGAAGGAGGAGAAGAGGGAGAAGAAGAAGGCGAAACGGGAGGCCAAGAAGGAAGCTAAGTCCAAGGGGCCGGTCACAGAGTATGGGAAATACGGCATCATTCGAGAAGTTGACATGTGGTGAGTGAGTGTGACAGTGGTGAGTGTGACAGTGGTGAGTGTAACAGTGGTGAGTGTAATGATGAATCAGTGTCTGAATACAGGCCTCTTGCCCATTTGTTAACCTTGTTCTTGTTTCTTCTTCCCCCCCCCCCCCCCCCCCCCTCCCCCCCCCCTCCCCTTCCCATGAATTATTGCTCCTACCAGTTGCTATCCCCCCCCCCTCTCCCCCCTCCTTGATCTACTTTAGTGCCAATGCTGACTCTGCCGTACTTTCGGCTCCTATCAGTTGCCTTTCTCCCTCCCCCGTTGAGCTTCTTTGTCCGCTTGTGCTGCTAGTCCTTGTCAGCTTACAGCACCCAGCTGAGAGCTACCCAGCTGAGAGCTATCCAGCTGAGAGCTACCCAGTTGAGAGCGCCCAGTTGAGAGCACCCAGTTGAGAGCGCCCAGATCTGTCCTGCCAGGACAAACGACCCGAGTGTCCATCTGTCATGTGCTCTTGCTTTGCCTGCCAGGACAAACGACCCGAGTGTCCATCTGTCATGTGCTCTTTCTTTGTCTGCCAGGACAAACGACCCGAGTGTCCATCTGTCATGTGCTCTTTCTTTGCCTGCCAGGACAAACGACCCGAGTGTCCATCTGTCATGTGCTCTTTCTTTGTCTGCCAGGACAAACGACCCGAGTGTCCATCTGTCATGTGCTCTTGCTTTGCCTGCCAGGACAAACGACCCGAGTGTCCATCTGTCATGTGCTCTTTCTTTGTCTGCCAGGACAAACGACCCAAGTGTCCATCTGTCATGTGCTCTTTCTTTGCCTGCCAGGACAAACGACCCGAGTGTCCATCTGTCATGTGCTCTTTCTTTGCCTGCCAGGACAAACGACCCGAGTGTCCATCTGTCATGTGCTCTTTCTTTGTCTGCCAGGACAAACGACCCGAGTGTCCATCTGTCATGTGCTCTTGCTTTGCCTGCCAGGACAAACGACCCGAGTGTCCATCTGTCATGTGCTCTTTCTTTGTCTGCCAGGACAAACGACCCGAGTGTCCATCTGTCATGTGCTCTTTCTTTGTCTGCCAGGAACAAACGACCCGAGTTCAGTGCATGGCTGGCAGAAGTTAAGAAGGCAAGAACCAAACCCACCTTTACTTGTTGCCTCTTGCTCTAATGCCTTCTCTCGCGCACCCCCCTCCTGCTCCCTCCCCTCTCCCCCCCCCCCCCCGCCCCGCCCCTCCCCCAGTGTTCAATCTCTCACTTGTTAACTTTCACACTCAGACTCGCCCCTGTCCCGTATTTCCACATGCACCACGTTCACCAGTCAACTTTCGCCCGTCCTTTGTTGCCATAGCTCGTCACTTCTTCCACCCCAGCCCCTTCCTCGCTTTCTGAGCCTCTCATTCCTTGACTTCCACACTCAGACTCACCCCTGCCCCCCAACTCCGCATGTACCACGTTTTCCGGTCAACTTTTGCCCATCCTTCGTTGCCATGGCTCGTCATTTCTTTCGCACCCGCGCCTTCCCTCTCTCGCTGCAGGCGAACTTGGAGCAGCTGAGCGGCTTTGAGGAGAAGAACCTGTTTAAGGAGTTTATGGAGGACCACAACACTGCCACGTTTCCTTCCAAGAAGTGAGTCCCTCCATAACGAGTTATTTTTCTACAGCAAGCCAATGCAGTGCATTACTAGCACATCTGTTGTGTAGAATCGCCTGGGAGTCGATGCCCTTTTCAGTAGACTCAAATGCCTCTTGGTAGTCAAGGCCCTGCTGTTACCCCAACCGTGCCCGTCCCAACCCACCCCTATCAGGTACTGCAACCTGACAGCATGGGAGCATCAGCAGATGACGAAGAAGAAGGAGCAGCCCAACAAGGCTCTGGGAGGGCTGATTTTCCCATCCGTCTCTTTCGGTTTAACTCTTGCCTCCAACACGCTTTCCGCTCCTCTTTCCAACGCCCCTGTCAGGTACTACAACCTGGCTGCATGGGAGCACCAGCAGATGACGAAAAACAAGGGACGGCCCGACAGGCCCTCTGGCAAGGAGATGACAGAGTTCAATGATGAAGACGCCAGGAGGTGAGAGGAGGTGATGTGCTTGCTGTAGCCTGTAGGGGGCACGGAGGTGAGGAGGGTATTCTGAGAATTTCTCAAAGACCCCGACAGGCCCTCAGGCAAAGAGATGACAGAGTTCAATGATGAAGACGCAAGGAGATGAGAGGGGGATAGAGGTGCTTGTAGTGAATGGCCAGACGTGCTATAAAGGGGGCACACATTTGTGTTAGCCAGCTCTGCTTTGACCCTCCCTCTGTGTGCTTGCCTCTCTGTGCCTATCCCTCCATGCCTATCCCTCTGTGCCTATCCCTCTGTGCCTATCCCTCTGTGCATGTCCCTCTTTGCTTGTTTCACGAGCACAGGGAGGAAATTCGCAGAGCGAGGGAGAAGCAGAAGGAGGAGGAGGTGCTGGCGCTCAAGCGAAGCATGGAAACGGGCATGGTGAGTGAGGGGAAGGGGGGTTTGGGGGGGGGGGGGTTTCGGGTTTCTGTTGACTTGCATGGCGCACAGGAGAAGCAGAAGGAGGAGAAGGTGCTGGCGCTGAAGCGAAGCATGGAAACGGGCATGGTGAGTGAGGGGAAGGGGGGTTTGGGGGGGGGGGGGTTGGGGGGGAGGGGTATGGTGAGAGAGGAATATTAGGGATTGCAAGGGTATGGGCATGGTTTAGCATCTCTTTACCAGGTGTCGAGCACCTTTCCAGATAAAAGACTGCGAGGCTTGATACAGCGCCTTTTGTTTCCAAGGCTTGATTGGCTGTGCTTGGGCCAAGCTTGCATTCTGTGCCAGGGAGCGGCTGAAGGCGGGGTTGCGCTTTCTGTATCAGATTGGAAATCATGAGGTTTTGCTGCTGCTCCTTGGTGCAAGCAATACTTGCTGCTTCTCCTGGTGCCCTTTTTCAATACTTCACAGGCCCAAGCAATGAGGGACCAGGAGCGGCTGAAGGAGGAGCTGCGCTTTCTGTATCAGATTGGAAATTACGAGGTAACGCCTTCTTTTGCTTGCACTGGTGGCGATTTTTTTGCTCCAAAAGGCCTGAAATCGTCTTATCACTGCTCTCGGTGCAGAGCAACTCGCCTAGGCGATGCACCTAGTGTTGTCACCTCACTCTGCACTGCTCCATCTCAGTTCTAACGCATTTCGCTTGTGCACCTTGTGTTGTTGCTTGCATTCACTCTTCAGGGAGCTGCTGCCATTCAGAAGAGGCTTGAACCAGATGATCCAACTAAGCGCTAACATGGTGGTGATTTTGAGCACAGCTCTCTATTTCGTTCCGATGTTTGGTCCTATTTGAACTCTACCCGGTTGTAACGTTTAGTTCTGTTATGTAGACACTGATTGTTCCAGGTTAGACCAGTCTATCAAAAGAGGTTATCGTGCCCAAAAACACATCATTATTTGAAGATGTACCGGTAGTTGTGCTTTCCCCCTTAGCGATACTCACCTGGGATTTCTGCCATTATCGAAGTCATCAACGCGGGAACTCCCTGGAGACTGTCGAATGCTGACAGATATGCAGTAACTCGGACTAGAATACTCCAGGATTTTCATCGTTGGCAGTCGCCAGCGTCATGGCCCCAGTGAGCTTTCTCAAAGGCAGTCGGCACTTATTCAGGCTAGGTAGCTAGGCTCGTTTTAGCCTGAATCGCATGATGGTGCTCTAGATGCAATTGCACGAAGTGCCAGCAGCGACTTCGATTGCAGTAAGTGCGAATAGCAAGATGGTTGAAGGATTAGATCGAAAGAAACCCCCCAGTGAATGCCACGTCAGCAGCGGTGCCAGTACCAACGGGACGACTCTCTTGGAGGTAGACGACGGCGAAGTTTCGCACGTCTCGCAAGACGGCGAGATTTCGCGCGCTTCACGAGACGGCGAGATTTCGATTGCTTCACGAAACAGCGCCGTTACCCTCGGTAACAACAACGACGAAGCGCCTGAAAGTGTTCTCGACTCGATTCCTTCCGATTCGGATCCGCAATACCGGGAGTTCCGCGATAGCGAGCGACTTGCATCTGCAGACGCATCATGCTGCACTAACGACGACGATGCGACCTTTGACTCGAGTAAAGAAATCGAGCATGGCGGCTCGATCAGCGGAATCGACGGCCAGATTGGCGAACGCGGCAGGAACGGAAACTGCGGAGATCGGAGGAGAGAGGAGGCACAGGACGAAGATCAGCTGCCAGATCGATCTAGTCACGCTCGGTTTAGTCACTCGAGCTGCTCCGCTGCTAGAGGGTCGGGGAATGCGTCAACAGATGCGTTGATTGGCGGGCTTAACGCGGAGCTTGCGAATCAGTGGGCTCAGTCGCTCGGAGTGGCCTTCGGCGCTATCATTTCCGAGGTAAGCCTCGCTTTCCCTCCCCACTTGATTGATCAGCATCCGCCTTTCATATCTCCACAAGTAGTTCTCTCATGTCGGAATCAGTGGGCTCAGTTGCGTAGAAGTGGCCTTTGGTGGTGCCATTGCCGAGGTAATCTTACCCCGCCCTGCTCCTCACCTTCCAACTCCTGCTCTTCACACATGAAGTCTTCGCAGATTATTCGCAAACGGCTCACTCGCTAACTATCAGTGCAATACACGATGCTCCTCATGATATACCTCGTTCGGGCGTACCATCCTTACTTGTTACCTTTCGGTGGAATATATGATGCGTTTAACTCATTGATGCATCTGGTGCGCAGGTGGAGTCACATGTGCTGACGTCACAGCAGCCCATCCCCATTGACGACCTTTCCCAGGTAGTCCCTCCTCCTTCTAACTTCCTTCCGCCTTTCTGCTGTCATCACTTCCTTTGAGGCGACTCAAAACTCGTCTCAGCTTTTGAGGCGCCTCAAAAATCTTAGCTTCCTTAAACCTTCCTGCCACCTCTTCTCTATCACTCCCCTCCCCCCCTTCGTCTCCCTCCTCGTTCGCACCCCCTACTACCACCGTCTGCGCACGAGTACTGAACTCGTTTAAGACCTCATGTAACTCATTTCGGAACTCAAAATCAACAGCGATAAATCCACTCCCTCGAATAAATCCCCACCTATCCCCTCCGCTCCTCCGCTCCTCCCCTCACTGGCCTTTCCCACTCCTCAGATGATCGAGGCTTCTCTGTCCGAGCTGCTGCTTCCTGTTGGACCAGAGGCTGGCAGCGCTGCAGGAACAGCACGCAGCAGCAGCAGCAACAGCAGGAGCAGCGGTATTAAAGGAACTAATCTTTTACAAACTGCGGGTACAGATGGTGCAGCAGCAGAAGCGGCAGCAGCAGCGGCGGCGGTTGTGGTGAGGCACGCTCCTCTCCCCCCAGCCTTTCTCTCAGCTGCGCTATCCACATTCCGAACCTGTGCTCGCGTGCGTAGGGTGCTGGCTCGGACCGTGCCGAACCAAGCCGTGCCGAGCCGGGCCTTGCCGAACCAGTCTGTGCCAGGTGCAGCAGCATGTGAGGCGGCAATTAGCAGATGTCGTCTTGCCACAGTTACTGCTGATCCTGCTGCTGCTGATGATGATCCTGCTGCTGCTGCTGCTGCTGTCGCCGCCGTTGCCGCTGTGGCTGCTCCTGCTGTTGTTTCGGCTCCTGTTCCTGCTCCTCTTGCCATTGCTGGTGCTGGTATTGCCGCTGGTGCTGGTTCTGGAGTAGAGTGGCGTCTTGTGAGGCATGGGCATGGGCATGGGCGTGCGACCAAGGGTTCAAGGGAAGAGGGGGCTTGGGAGGGTGAGCTGATGGGGAATGCGGGAGGGAAGTCAAGCGAGGAAGAAGGGGTGGAGGAAGAAGAGGAAGAAGGGGTGGAGGAAGAAGAGGAAGGGCAGTCAGTAGGAGCGCTGAGCTCGCTCATCTCGTCATGTGATCCCATGGCTGCGGTGCTGCTGCACACTGATGTGGCTGCAGGGTTAAAGGGCGGCGAGGGGGGCAGCAGTGGTGGCGACAAGGGGAGCAGCAGTGGTGGGGACTGCATAGGGGAAGTAGAAAGGGGAGCGGTGTCGTCGTGTAACCCCGTGGCTGCTGTGCTTCTGCAGACGGGTGTAGCTATGGGGAAGAGACGTGGCGGGGAGAAGGGTGGGAGGGCAGAGGGTGACAGCACGGAGGGTGACGAGGTGCTGAGTGGTTGTGAGCGGTTGGAAAATAGTGATTTGAGAAGCCAGAGGGCGCAGGGGAGACAAGGGGGGCATGGGGGGCTGAAGGAGAAGGGGGAGCAGAAGGGAAAGGGATTTTTTAGGGAGGTGAGAACACAGAGGGAGCAAGGGGGAGAGGAAGAAGGATGGGGCATGACAAGCGAGTGTAAGGGAGGTCTAGGGATGACGAAAGGGCATGGCACTCTGAAGCAACAGCAGACCAGGCAAGCAGAGCAGAGGCAGTTTCCACAAAGGAATCAGAAGAAGAACCAGCAGCAGCACTCACACACTCCTGCAGAATCGCTCACTCCCACACACTCGCACACTCCGTCAACACACTCACTCACTCCGCCTACACACTCACACGCGCCTGCCACCCCTCTCACTCAGTCACCACCCCACCCTCCTCACTCACACTCTCCTCCGTCCCCAACACCCTCCATCCTCTCGCATGCTCCTGAAAGCCTTTCGCCCCCCGCCCACCCATACCACTCCATACCGAGGCATCCATACCATCCCATGGCCATGCATCCATGGCCTTCGTCCATACCATCTGTACAAGCACAAGCATACGCTTACAATCACGCATGTGCAGACAACCATGCATGCGCAGACAACCACGCATGCGACCAACAGCAGCATCACCACTTACCCGTCCCAATGTCCAACCACGCCCTCTCTCTCTTTGGAACATCCTCCCACCAACACACCTCTCTCGTCCCTGCTGCACCCCCCTCCCACGCACTCACAGCCCCCTCCCACGCCATCTCATCCCCCTCCCCGTCCCTCCTCGCCCTTCGCTACGTGACCGCGCTAGAGGAGAGAAACCGCCTCTCAGCCGCCAAGCTCTCACAGACAGCCCTAACCGTCTCCCTGCAGACGCAGCACTTAGCCGCCACAGACCGATCCAACCACCTCATGGCCCAAAAAGTGGAGATTTCTAAGGGGGAGAAGGCGAGGAGGGAGCGGGAAGGGCGGGAGAGGCGAGGTCGGGAGGAGCTAGCAGCGTTTGCCAGGGCGTGTGCTGATGAGCTGGTTGCGGGGCTGCTGGTGATGCTGGTGGTAATAGGAGCCACCGGGTGGAGGTTTGCAGGGGAGAGGTTGGCTGCTGGGGTGGCGGCGTGCCAGATTCGGCACGATCCTTCGTTGGATGCTTCGTCGTTTTGGGGGTTTTCGTTTTCCCGCCCGGACCGGTCGCTGGTGACGTGGCTGCGGCTGATTGGCTGCAAGCTGACCGTCGCAGGGCAGATGCTGGTAGCTTTCTTAGTCGCATCAGCAACCACGTATATCATGCTGCTTAACAATGTGGCTGCTGCTACTGGTGCTAGTAGTGCCCACTCCCGCCCTGCCACTACCATAGTGCTCTGCCTTGGCTGTGTGTGCGGTTACTTTGGGTTCTATGCGGTGCGGCTGGCAGGGGGGGATGCGGCGGTGTGGCTGGTTTGCTGGGAGGGGATGTGTGTGCTGCATGCGCTGGTGGCGTGGCGCAAGGAGCAGCTGTTCCGGGTGCTGTATGGGCGACGGGCGGGAGAGGAGGTGGAAGAGGTGAGGAGAGAGATGGTGAGGGAGGAGGGGGAGGAGGAGAGGAGTAGGAGGATGGGTGAGGCTGGTACAGAAGCAGCAGTGGTAGGAGCAACAGGAGTAGCAGTAGGAGGAGCAGGAGGAGTATCAGCAAGTGGAGGGGCAGCAGCAGCAGCAGCAGCAGCAGCAGCAGCAGCAGCAGCAGCAGCAGGAGTTGATGCGGCGGGAGCAGCAGCAGCATCTGTAACAGCAGCACAGGGGCTGAGGAGAAGACGAGGAGGAGACAGAAGGGAACAAGCCGGGCCTTCTAGAGAGCACACTGAGAGGAATGACCACGTGGACCGAGGCAGCACAGGGGGCGTGGGCTGGAAGGGGTGGGGCGTTGGGAAGGTGCTGGGGGTGGTATGGGGGAGGATGGCTGAGCTGGTGACAGCTGTCATGGATGATGACGTGGATGGGTGGCTCATGGGACGACGGGCGGCGAGCAGGAGAGGGTCGGACGGCAGGTCAGCATCGCGTTCGTCGTCTTCTTCCTCTTCGCTGTGTGATCCGACAGAGAGCGAGCCGTCATCGTCTGGACGGCGCTCATCCTCCTCGTCTTCTGGGCGGCGGTCGTCGTCGGTGTCTGTGACCTCATCATCACCGTCGTCATTATCGTCTGAACCAGGACGACCGTCAGGCATCTCGGGAGCAGCAGCAGCTGGTTCCACATGTTCATACACACCACTGTCCTCCACCGTCTCGTTACAGTCACTCTCGTTATGGCCACGCCTCATCATCACTCTCCTCACCTCCTGCTTCACCTCCATTCTTCACTCCATGCAGTTACTGTTCACCAACCCTCAAGCTTTTTTCCTCATCTGCTGCAAATGGGCCCACTCATTCCTCCGCCCTTCCCTCCCCCATATCCTCCCTCCCCCCCCTCCCCCTTGGGTGAGACGCCTCCTTTTCCACCTCACCCTTCTCCTCCTCCTCCCTGCAGCTGCTGGTGCGCTGCCCTTTATCACCTGGGCAGAGGCCATCCACTTTACTGGAGCACTCTTTAGCGAAGCTTGGGTGATGGCAATGGGTTGGGTCTGGCAACGGGAGGCACGTCGGCAAGGGCCTGAGAAGGGTTTCGCAAGGCAGGGGTATGGGGCCAGCAGCTTTGTTGACGTGTCTGCTGCTGGGAGCGCTGCTGCTGGGGGTATGGGTTCAGGGTCGTCTGGAGCAGCAGGGGCAGTGGCTACTGCTGCTGGCGGTGGTGGTGGTATGGCACGGTACTGGGACGATGACCTGTGATGAGGTGCTGGTGGCGAAGCAAGGGATTGGGCACAGCAGAGGCTCAGTTGGTGCATCTGTTTCTGGAAGTGCTGCCAGTGGCGGTATACCAGCACCATAGGTGTGGCTGCCGGTGGTATGGCATGGCACAGTATTGGGAGGCTGACTTGTAAGATGTAAGATGCTGATATTGAAAGGGGGGTATATACCACACTGGAGTTTGATGCACACTCTCAGATTCAGGGGGCCAATATTCACCATTTTCAGTACACGCCAAGAGAAAGAGAACAGCCGCCCTTAGATGCTATGCTCGTCCTACACTTCGAATAGCAAGTGGGATCGCCAACTAACACCGCCTTGTTCCATCTACCGTAGAATGCAATCCTAGCCGCGGCAAATCCTTGGCTTAGTCGCACTTTTTGCGGCACTTCTTGATCTTCTTCTTGCACTTCTCGTACTTGTGCGTGCACTTGTGGTGGTCGTGCTTGTCGTCCTTGTTCTCGCGCTTGCACTTGCTGTAATCCGTGTTGCACTTCTTGTTCTTGTCCTCGCAGTCCGACCGGCAACTCAGCATGCGCCCCTCGGCGGACCACAGGAACCGCCTGCTCAGCTTGCTCAGAAGACCTGGAAACGGGACAAGGCAATGGAACCGACGCAAGGGTTAGAACGCACTTTTGAGACAAATTCAGCATGCGCCCAAGACATGTGAGGAGAGTTTGGGATGGTCGACGTTGTGAAACCGACACTGTTACGCAGAAAAACCATCTGGCGTTGAGGGGGGACCCCAAAAATTTCCGCGATGCCCTCAAGGTACCACAGCAACCGCCTGCTCGGGCCGAAGAGCTAGCTCAGGAGACCTGGAAACGGGAGAAGGCAAAGGAACCCATGCAGGCTCTCGGAAATGGTTTGCATCGAAGCTCGACGCACCAGGGGCAGAGGCCGCATTGTCGTCGTCGTCGGTGACGTCATCGTCCTCCGCGGCGGGGATCTCGTTCGCGTGGCACAGAGGCGCGAGCGCGAGGGAGACAACGAGGGAGAGCGCGAGCAGGACGAGCAAAAGCTTGGAACGCCTCATCGTGACTGCGGTGGAGTGCGGTTGATCGCGGTTGCTGGAGGAGCGGGAGGGCGGTAGGCGGTCGGCTGATGGAATGGAAGCTTTGGTGAAGCTTTATTGCTCGAGTTGGAGTGGAGAAACATGTTAAGGTACTTAGCGGTTCCAGGCTTTTATAGGAGCATTGGGTATGGGTGCTGGCAGCAGCAGAGCCTCCGCGTGGCACGAGTGTGCGCATCGCGTTGGTCGATGATATGATAAGTCGCAGATGGTCGGTGACAAGGTAAGTCCGGGTGGCATGGCATGTCGGGGTGTTGAGCTGGGCTGGCTCGATCGCATTCACCCATTCTGGGTTGCTCGGAACGGAACGACCAGTATCGTGGCGTGGGTTGAGTGGGGGAAAGTGAGGGGTGAGTGGGAAGGGAGGGGATCGTGCTTGGGAAATGGCTTTGTGCGTGTGGGGGGATGAAGGGGTTAGGAGCGGGTGAGAAGGATTCAAAACGATGAAAACAGAGGAGAAGGGAATGGAAGATTGGATGGAAGAAATGCGAGAGAGGGTGGCTCCAACGTTATGAAATGCGAAATCGAACCGCGCACTGCGACGCGTATAAGTTATATGACGCGACATGGTTACGCTGCGCCTTTTTCCCCAAATCAGTCCAGCTCAGTCGTTCAGACAAGTTTGTGCTTGTGTGCCATCATCAATAAAAATTAGGTGCTACAACGCATTACATTCACCTCATAGGTTGCGGAATTTAGTAATAGAGGGCCCATCGTCTAGATGATTGGTAGTAGCTAGATCCATGAGCATGGAAAAAATAACAAATTCATGCATGCGGTTTGATCCAACACTAGACGTTGGTACTTCATTAACATTCTCACTAGGGGGCTGGTACACAGTGTTAGAAGGCTAGCTTAGCAAGAAGCTAGGAAAGGCATCAGGTTTAGCTAGGAGGAGCCATGGAGTGGCGTGAGGTTTAGGAAGGAGAAAAGTTGAGGAGAGAAAAGGAGTTCAGAATAGAAGAGAGAGGGATACAAAGAGGGGTATTGTACCCTATACAGTAAAGTTCAGTAAGACTACCAAGCCTACAATTATATACTAATATATAATTTAACACACCCCCTAGGCTTGGTAGACACAAGCCCACACACACCCACACCCCCTAACCTATCACCCCCATTCCAGCCACAGTGACAGCGACACTAACTAGGTCGACCCCTCGGCGCGCGGGGCGGCGACGACGACCGCAGGGGCTGCAACGGCGACGGTGGCAGTGTCGACAGCGGCGGCGGCGGTGGCGTGCGGCTGCGTGGCCCCGACGCAAGGGGCGACAGCGGCGGCGGTGGCGGCGCCCGCACCTCTCAGTGACGTGGCCAGGCCCCGCGACGGTGGGTGGGACGACCGGCGGGAGTCAGCCGTCGTCTGCGGAAAGGAAGAGGACACGGGAAGGGGGGGGGGGTGTGACAGGTTTGTCAAACATGTGTAGTTATCATGTTTGTATAGACTGTATAGGGTCACCTTCTAGAGAGTACAACATTTAGGTATATGTTTGTGTACTCTCTCTCTCTTACATTCATTCAATTCTAGGTTTGATATGGTATCACGAGTAGGTTTCGACCCCCCCCCCCCCCCCCCCCCCCACCTACCGCTTCCGCTCCTCCCGTCGCGTCTCCTAGCCTCGCCTCGCCCCTCCTGAGCCCAGTCGCGACCCCTCCCTCAGGCCCCCGTCGCGCCCCTCCAGGGCTCTGTAGCGCCCCTCCAGGGCCCCGTCGCGCCCCCTAGCGCCCCTCCTGGGCCCCGTAGCGCCCCTCCAGGGCCCCGTCGCGCCCCTTCGCGCCCCTCCTGGGCCCCGTAGCGCCCCTCCAGGGCCCCGTCGCGCCCCTTAGCGCCCCTCCTGGGCCCCGTCGCGCTCCTCACAGGCCCCGTAGCGCCCCATAGCGCCCCTCCTGGGCCTCGTCGCGCCCCTCCTGGGTTTCGTAGCGCCCCTCCTGGGCTTCGTAACGCCCCTCCCAGGCCCCGTCGCGCCCCTCCTGGGCTCCGTAGCGCCCCTACTGGGACTCGTCGCGCCCTCCCTGGGCCCTGTAGTGCCCCTCCTGGGCCCCGTCGTGCCCCTCCCAGGCCCCGTCGCGCCCCTCCTAGGCCCGTAGTGCCCCTCCTGGGCCCGTAGCGCCCCTCCTGGGCCCCCATTGCGCCCCTCCTGAGCCCCGCCGCGCCCCTCCTGGGCCCCCATTGCGCCCCTCCTGGGCCCGTAGCGCCCCTCCTGGGCCTGTTGCGCCCCTCCTGGGCCCTGCCGCGCTCCTCCCTGGGCCCCGTATCCACCCTCCTGGGCCCCGTCGCCCCTGCTCGGCCCCGTCGCCCCTGCTCGGCCCCGTCGCCCCAGCTCGGCCCTGTCGCGGCCTCTCGGCCCCGTGGCGCCCGCCCTGCCCCTGTCGCAGCTGCCCGGCCCCTGTCGCACCTGCCCGGCCCCGTCGCGCCCGCCCGGCCCCGTCGCCCCCGCCCGGCCCTGCTGTGTCCTGCCCGGCCCCGTCGCTGCCGCCCGGCCCTGTCGCTGCCGCCCGGCCTCGTAGCTGCCGCCCGGCCCTGTCGCTGCCGCCCGGCCTCGTAGCTGCCGCCCGGCCTTGTCGCTGCCGCCCGGCCCCGTCGCAGCCGCCCGGCCCCGTCGCAGCCGCCCGGCCCCGTCGCAGCCGCCCGGCCCCGTCGCAGCCGCCCGGCCTCGTCGCTGCCGCCCGGCCCCGTCGCAGCCGCCCGGCCCCTCGTCGCGCCTGCCCGGCCCCGTCGCGCCTGCCCGGCCTCGACGTGCCTGCCCGGCCCCGTCGCGCCTGCCCGGCCCCGTCGCGCCTGCCCCGGCCCTCCATACTTCCTGGTACTGTCCCCCGTTCCCCGCACCACTTTGCACCCTCCTGCACTTTCCTGCCCCGCCTTGCACCGCATTGCACCTCACTGAACCGCACTGACCGCACTGCACCGCACTGGACCGCACTGCACCGCACTGCACCGCACTGGACCGCACTGCACCGCCCTGCACCGCACTGCACAGCACTACACCGCACTCCACTGTCCTCCACTGCCCCTCATGGCTGCTGAGCTTCGTTTTGATGCTGAGGGTCAGCCTCTGGAGTTCGAGGCGTGGTTGGCTGACCTTCGCCGCCACCTCACTGGTCAGCGGCAGGACGGCCACCCGCTTTCTGCACACCTAGACGGTATGCTCCCCTGCCCTGACCCCCCTGCTGTGCTGCCCGCTGATCCCACGCCCGCTGAGCGCGAGTCCACTGCCGCCGCTGCCCTTGCCCGCTCTGTCTGGCTTTCCCGCGATGCCCTTGCTCAGCTCGCCATTAGCAATGCCCTCCCCCCCCTTGAGCGCCCTCGCTTTAGAACCATTACTACCGCCCAGGCCTACCTCGATGCTGTCATCAAGCGCTATTCTACCCCTCCTGCTGCCTCAGTGGGTCGCCTGATCCTCCCCCTGCTCTTTCCTGACCTGGCGTCCTTCCCCACTGTCTCTGACCTCGCTGCCCACCTGCGCTCGATAGATGAGGCCTGGCGCGCTGCCTGCACTGATGCACAGCTTAGAGTCCACCAGCCTCCCATGACCTCTACCCTCTACCTCCTTGCCACCCGCCTCCCTGACCGCCTTGCCGCCGCCCGCGACCAGTTCCTTAGCATCCACCCTGCTGCTCTCACCCTCACCGACTTTGTTGACACCCTGACTGCCATAGAGACTCGTCACCGCTCCATAGCCCAGGCGAGCGGTACAGTACCGGTCCCTATCTTTCAGGGTTGTGCCCCCGCTCAGTGTACCTTCTCCGACGGCTCTGTCGCTGTGGCTGAGACTGCTGCTGCAGTGCAGTCCCGCTCGGGGAAGGGCCGCCGCCCCAAGGTTGGGAGCGGCGGAGGTGGCGGGGGTGCGGGTGGGGGTAGTGGTGGAGGCGGGTCGTCCGGTGCCGGTGCGGACGTGGGGACCCTGCCCGGTCCAGCTGCCCCGCTGCCTCCACCGTTGCAGCAGCCGCAGCAGCAGCAGCCTCCGCAGCAGCCGCCGCAGACGAGGCCGGCGAGTGCTCTCCCGCCTGGGTGGCCTGGAGCTGGTGGTGGTCGTGCGCGTGGTGGTGCACCGGGTGGTGGTTCTGGAGGCGGGCCCTGTCAGTACCGGTCCTCGCCGCGGCTTCGTTTGCGGTAAGATCGGTCATTCCACTCCTCGCTGTTTTCGTCGTCTGGACGACCTGTTCCGCCAGCGCTTTGGCCCGGCGCCCGACCTCCCGGACTGGCACAGCTTGCTTAGGCGTAGCATTCGGATTTTTGACTTGGACATGGATGCCATTGTAGCAGCCTTGCATGTGATGTATGCCGATGACTCTAGTGTGCTTCCCTCTTATTACCCCGTGTTGCCTAGTGTAGCTGTGCCTAGTGTAGACTCCCCTGCTGCGTCAGGCGTAGGATCTCCTGCTTTGCTTAGCCTCGGTGCTTCCACCGCTTCACTGTCGCCCCGCGCGACTGCTGCGCTTTCCTTCACCTTGGACGCTGGCGCCTCCCGGTGTTTCTTCCGCGACTCCACGACGCTGACGCCGCTTCCTGTTCCTGCTGCAGTTACTCTTGCTGACCCCTCCGGTGGTCCCGTCTTTGCCCGCAGTTCCACCTCCCTTCCCTGTCCGGCGGTTCCTTCAGGTTCGCTCACCGGTCTGCATATCCCCTCGTTCTCCAGGAACCTAGTTGGTGTCGGCTGCCTCCAGGACCTTGGCGTCACCACTACGTTCCCTGGTCACGAGCGGTATGCTGTCTGTACCGAGGCCGCCACTGGTGCCCCCCTTACCACTTTCCCCCGGGACCCGGTGTCCGGCCTGTTCACACTTGACACCGCGACGTCCCCGGCTGGGTCTTCCCCCCAGGTAGCTGCGTCCACCCAGGTTGCTGCTGCGTGCTCCTGTCGGTCCCTCACTCATCCGACTCTCCTTTGGCACCACCGCCTTGGTCACCCTGCACTCCCGCGTCTGCGTCACATGTCCCAGCACGGTCTCGTCCTTGGTCTCCCCGGTTCGTTCCCTGAGTTTCCCTCATCCCCCGCCCCACCGTGCACGCCTTGTGTCGAGGGCCGGCTCCACCGTGCCCCTCACTCCTCCTCTTTTCCCCCTACCACCGCACCCCTGCAGACTCTGC